TTTCGTGAAATTTTCTTTAATGATGTTTAAATAACTAGAGAGTAGTGTGATTTCATGTCGTACTCTTAAATGTTTAGATGTTTCTGTCGGTGAGACATTTGTTAATGGGAGTTCATTTTCTAATATCGAAATATAACTATATATTAGTGCGAAAACTTCATTGGTGAAAATGGAGTTTGCTCTTTGTGAGTTATGGTATTGTATGCTTTTTATATATTCTGAAAAAACTTTTGAAAATTCTAAATCAAGGTCGTCTGTTTGAATAGTGTATGTTCTATTATTATGGTTTGGGGAAGTGAATTCTATAGAGTAGATTCCATATTGTTGTGTTATGTTGCATATATCTTTTAGATAGTGATCTATGATTTGTCTTTTGATTTTTACATCGGGGAACTCTGTTTTACATGGACTGATTCCGGGTTCAAATAAATTTACGAGTAAATTTTGACAAAATATGTGTTGTCCTCTATCAGTATCTGCATCTACTATAAAAGGAAAGATTTCATCATCATCTGGAGTTTCGTCACCTGGGGTGTGCGTTGAACTCATTTTTTCGTTCGATGACTGTTAATATGTAATTATTAATGTGTCGAATTGGTTGATTCCAATTGTATAGATGTACTGGTTTGTGTTTATACTGCTTTTTTATTCTTCTTTTTCCTCTTTGTGATGAATTTGAAGTTGTTTCTGAGTCAGAAAAATATAATTGATCGTGTTGTGGGTAATTTTTATCTATTGATTCTTTTAGTTTGTAGAGTTCGTCTAAACTGTTGGTTTCTGATTCTGAAAATGCGTTTCGATTTTTTGAAAATCTTTTTCGTGTTATTTGTCTTTGTTTAGTGATTATTTTTCTCTTTAGTGTTTGTCGTTTTGTTCGAATGTATCCAACTGTTTGTGTATGAGGTGTGATTACAAGGTCGTATTTTTTGTTATCTATTTCACAATTGTGTAAAATGATTGTTTGTTTATTTCCTAGATTTTTAAATGACATAAGGTTTAGAATGACGGATGCAAAAGGTTGTTAAATGATTTCTATTGACTTAAACTGTTAGTTCTTACGATTTTTTGGTTAGCTTAACCTGGGTCTATTTGTTCAGGGTTGGAGAGAAAAGTATATCGATTCCGAAGAATGATTTTTACTTTCTCGTGACTAGTATAAGTTAAGGTGTTAACTTACTTAATCTTACTTAGGGGTAGTGATTGTGTTCAAGGGTTGGAGAATAGTAAATCGATCCACAAGGTTCAGGTATAATTAGAACGCGAGTAGTTCGTTAGATACTATTTTAAACTTACTAAGTCTAAGATTTATCCTGGGTCTGGTAAGAGGGGGGATCAAGTGAAGGATGAATAACCGAAGTTCTTCACTGTTTATCCTAATTTGAATGATTAGTTTTGTTTAAAAATTTCTATTAGTCTTGGGTCTTTAGAAAGGGTTGGGTAGTGAATCGACGTTTGAGGTCGTTAGACACTAATTAAGTGGGTGGGGGAGAACAAAGTTGTTCTGTTTGATCCAAGGATAAGCCTTGATGATCAAATTTAAAATGTAATGAAGTAGAAAATGATTTAAGATCCAAGGATAAGCCTTGATGATCTGGTTTTAAAATTAAGTGACTTTAAGTTTTAATGAGGTTTTAAATTTGTGTAAAGGAAAGATTTAGTATTTTATGATATTAGTAAGTTGATGATTGCTGTTATGTTTTAGGTGATGAAGCTGGAACAACAGGATGATTTATGATTACTAACCATTTATTGTCATGCTACTAATTTTTATTTTTATTTTCCAATAAATATTTTTCAAACATGTTTTGTATAATACTGCAGAATTTTAGGAAAACGATCTTAGATCTTTTTATCAATCGTTATTGTATAATATTAATTTTGTTTAGCGCCTGAAATGATTTTGAAGATTTACTTCAAGGTTTTATGTTTGCAAATGGAAATCTAAATTCATTGCAAGTAGTATTCGAAATATAAAAGTTTGTTCTGGCTTTTGCCGAACTATCATATAACTATACGGCAAGTTTCTACTTTGTCGTATGTCGTCTTTGGTTCGATGTCTTCTTCCAATTCCGGGTAGTTCTATTATGGTTCGGAATATTGGCTCGGATCTATTGAGTCGGAGAGACATTTCAATTAAATTATTGTCGTATAACATTTTGTAAATGTTTTTGTCTAATTTCTAATCTATTTTTGGTTAATTCTAATCTAGTAAGGTCTTGTTCGAGACTTATGGTCGCACCAGATGAGTTAGGACTGGAGTGTAACTCATAGAGTAATTTCGGATAGGGTACACCGTCTGCTCGTCACGCTATCTTATTTTCGGCCGGATAGATTCGTGCAACTTCTTAGTCTAATACCGATCCTAATCTTACTCTTATACTATCTAGTCTCAGGTTGTTTAACTAGTCTCTGCTAGGCTCAATAGATCTAGGGTATACTGGTTTATTGCGGCTGCTGAAGTGCTCGGGAGAGTCCAACTAATTTCTAAGTTAAATTCAAATCTCTCTGGTGCTGAAATTACAAGTAACTTCAGCACTTACAAATAAGTGGGTTGTTAGTTAGATGGATCATGATTGGTTAATATTAAATACTTTACATTGGTAAAACATTTAATTTATCCAATCATAAAATATAGTTTAGATCAGGTTCCACTGGTGTAAGCTTCCTTTTGATCCCTTTAGCTGAAAGTTACTCAGTCGAAACAGTAATTCAGAAATAAAGTCGACACTCTCTTCATTGCTTACGGCTACTTCACAGTCAAATAAAACACGGCACTACTAATCAGCTAGTTATTCGGGTCGTTTTTCAATGGTGGGGATCAAGAAAACATCGACAGGAGCTCCCATTGCTTACTCGGATTGAACTGGAGTTGAAAGTACCAATAGCACGAAATGGTAGAGGGGTGAAGAATATTGATGTTAAATTTTTTTTTCTACCACAACATTTAATTAAAAACAAAAATCCTCAATTTCTCGGTGCGGCACCAAATTTATTTGATACAACCAGTACTGTTGCAGACTTTGAACATTTTTTCTGTTTTTTTAAGGATTTTTTTTGCCAAAAAATAATCAAAACTTCATGAAAAATTTCAAAAACGTTATACATATATATTGCTTTCACGATGAACCCTCTGGAAGTTTTTGATATTTTTAGGATTGTTTTGAACATTTTTCAGTTTTTTGTACGGTTGACAAAATTGGTGCAGTATAGTGAAAAGCGCTACCAGTTGTGAAAGGGCGGGGATGTAGAACACTTCCAATACTTACTCGCAGTGACTTGGTGTTGAAATTATCCATGACGCGAATCACTTAAGGGGCTGCAAAGTTTTGATGTGCGCTATTTTTTTCTACCACAACGCTAGTTTTGAAAACTTTGATTTTTTCTTTGGATTTTTCTGAGATATGGAAAAAATTCTAATTTTTTTTCTGTGCGGTATCGAGTTTATTCGATACAACTAGTACTTTTGCATTCTATGAAGTTTTGAAATTTTTGATTTTTTTTGGATTTTTCTAGCACTTCTAAAAAGTTCTCTTTTTTTTTCTGTGCGGTATCAAGTTTATTGAATACAACCAGTACTATTGCAATCTATTTCTTTTATATAGAATGTTTCGCTTAAAATTGATCAAGTTTTTCTGAAAATTTTCAACTACCTTATACTTTGTATTTTACGACTGTTTTGAAATTTTTGAAAAAATATAATGTTTTTTTTCCAGTTTTGTTGTATCTTTTCGGGCCTTTTTTGCTTGGCTTTAAGTAAACAGTCCCAATAGTTGTCCGAGTTGTGATAGGTTACCCTAAAATTGATATATATTTTTTAGAATTACCAATAATTACCATAAATAGTTTCACAAATTTTAAAATTTTTAAAGTTTTTTTTTCAAGGTGATTTTGTGACTGACATGGTTCTTTTTCTCACTTGGATCAGTTTTGTCACCATCAAAACTTCAACAAAAATAGCTTTATGGTTCGCTGGTATACTGTTAACGGTGCTCATTTCAATTAATTAGCATAAAATGGCTATATAAAACTGACGTATTAGATCGGTCTTACCGATTTTTTGTTGAACTGGTTTACCGGTTAGTTGTCAAAGAGCTAATTAATTGACAAAACTAACTCTTTTTTGCTTTTTAAAAGATTATTATATGGCCATTTTGTTCTTGTGGCTTATTAAAATTCTCTGGATGTCAAATCTGTCTGGTCACTTTTAAATGTACATAGCACTTCCTTACATGCAAAATGTTTTTATCAGATTTAGCAACACACAAGCAGCATTTTGATATCAAAATCGTTGTCTAAATACATGAATATATTCTAAATATGCTTAGCGGGTTTGAAAAAGATGCTATACACCAAAACCAATACAGGTGCACAAACCATCAAGGTTGAAGAACTGATTAGTTATTGCACAGGTACTTTCAAATTGATATATTAATAGTTTTACTTTGAATTAGTTTCGAATTATAGAGTAGTTTCATGGGAAAAGCATGAAAACCAAAATTTTATTGCAATCCAATAAAAAACATCCGGATAAAAATTTTCTTCATACAAGGTTGTTAGAACTAAAAACAAATTGTAATTTAAGCTATTTGTAGAGACTGGACCGAGATTTTTTTGAAATTGAGAGGACTGAGGTTTTTACTTGGCACCTGCTCTGGTTTTTTTTGCAGGATGTCCACTTTTAGCTGACCAACTCTAACAAATTTTCAAGTCTTTATACTTTAAAATGATGGCGGAGTGCGCCGAAAGTATGCTAGTTTTTCTTCAAAAGGTGATTTTTTTCGTCATAACCGTTTTTGGTAATTTTTGAAAATTTTGTAGTTTTTGGTAATTTTTTGAAAATTTTGTAGTTTTTGGTAATTTCTGTGCAATGGCGGTCACTCAAAAATGTCCGATTAAACGTTTTATTTTCTTGATAAAATCTGTTTCGACTAGCAGAAATCCTCCCCTTACTGTTGATTGTTTTCTGAAAGCCATGAAACTTTTTCTCAAATATCTGTGAATGGATGATGACAAAATGACATTCTTTGATGGTTCGTTTGTTTTGATATAAGCGTTTAATTAACTTATTTGTTTCGATACAATCGCAACTCGCCACAAACATCAATCGAGTTAAGTCCATCCATGGTTTCAAATATAAACAGTCCACTATTTTATAAGAGATACTTTCACCATTTGTTTGGTCTTATTTTACATCTATTCTGTCGTTTTATTTCTGCATTCTGATTCTTATTGAACCGCAAAAGAGTCCTTTTATACTACGATTCATTACACAATTTGAGATGCTAAATTGTTATTTGAAACCAACAATCTATTGCGAAACTGATAGTTTGATGAACTGTTGGTTTCGTTGATAGAAGAATGTTTAGCTTTAACTAAAAGTTACACCCTATTATTAGTATACGCAGCTAGGTACCATAGTTTTACAAATAACAGTATCTTAGCCACTTTGCTAAACAGACTAGGTTAAACTATTGAAACGCGTGTAAAAGTCTCAAACAAATGAACCTTTTTTTGTAAAAATCAGTGTAAATTTGGCTATATATCTCATTCAAAGCAGTGTTAGTTTCGAAGTGTAGTGTGTTATTGGGGGTTGTCCGAAGTAATGGATAGCTTGAATGACAGAGCAAGTGAAGGTGGCTCTTTTGTCGCCTGGGGAGAGCAGGGGGAGTCGGGGGACGAGTATGAGACAGTTGCCCCCCTCATCTCTCTCGAAGAGGTGCATGAGTTGGCCAAGAAGATTAGTGTGCACTTTATCAGCGCCGACTCAGACAAGGTAGGCGGGATGTGTTTATGTTATTTCTTTTGTTTGAACATGACAAGAATTGGTAAATATCTGCAGGGATTAAAGTTTACGAACTGTGTCTGGAATTCTGAATGTTTCAGTTACTTTCATTCAAGTCTAAAGTAGGGAACTAATGACACCAAAATTATTGCAATCTAAGCTCACTTGACAGGAAAAATAGTATGAACAAAAAAAATAGATACTGATGCGCTTGGGTCAAACTTGATTTGTCACCTTGAATAAAAAATGTAACATTTTTTTTCGGGCGATAATTATGCCTAGAATAAGGATCTACATAATTAGGTGTATGTACAATCTAAGTTTTTGATCAGGCTAAGTTCGATTCAGCGGTGATTCGAACAGAGGAAGAAATATAGATTAAAGTGTATGTTTTCTTGGCAGATGAATTTTATGAAGTGTCTACATCTGCTAGAACACATATTTACATTCTTTTTTCATGTAATTCAGATAAAAGATCCACTCAATTATTTTAAAAAAAGCACGTGTACTCGTATACAGTTTTTCAATAATCTTATAACCTTATATCAGGAAACCGATTATTTAGCAGACCAATCTTTCAGCATAAAAAGTTAAAATTGAAATTTTAGCAGACCCAACGTGCTACAACTGACCCATAATTGGTTGACAGACGTAAAAACAAGCTCACTCTTGGGTCAAGCTTCAATGTTTAAGACAATTATCTCAGAATTTTTCAACAAAATTATCAACTTCAAAAACACACAAGTCTAAATTAGCGGCAAAACAAAGACTTACGCGCACAAAAGCATTCGTGTGGAATGGAAGCGCAGCAGGGCCTAGGAAATTAGACGAAAAGCAAACTAAATGGGGCTAAAAAAATTGAATTTAGACGTCGATTCAAAACTACAAATTTGGGAATTTAGACTTATCTGTATTCTTAACGTGTGTGAAATTTGTTTACTGACTACAATTCACTTTCACTGACTACAACAACTTTCATTCGAGCTTTCTTAAATGCGAAAAAAAATTTATATGTCGCATTGGGATAGCATATGCATTTCAAAAATGTTTTACAAAGTTTGGATTAACGTTTTATTAACCATCTATAATAAATATTTTGACATGCAAAGGGATTATAAACTCTTTATTTATATTGAGCAAAATATGGGGAGAAACGCAATTGCCAACATTAAAACAACCTGAAGACATTTTTAGTCAAACGCTAACAAGACTGATCTGATCGTATATCATAGCTAAGCCCTGAACTTCCGACTACCACTATATCCATATCAAATAGTTTTCGGGAAACGTTTTTTTTGAAAAACTATAAATTTTGGCAAAACTAAAAATCAAGTTTAAAAAGTTGAGTCGTAAGAAATTGATACGACCTTTTAGCTGAACTGAATTCAATTTGGAGCAATTTTGTTGTGCGGGATAATTTGCCACGCATAAATATTTTGCGTTATACTTTCAGCATTATGAACTAAATCTTCAAAACGCCCACAAATTAGTCCAGGGATAGCCAAGTTGGCTATGTTCAAACTCTGAACATTTTTTTTTTTGCGAAAAAACATTGGAGGTATAATAACTTTTTATATTTGATTTCAGTTATTATTTTCAATGGGGAAAAATTTTGTCAAAAAATATTATTTCGATCCCCGAAAATTGACTGAATAAAAAAACCACCCCAAGCATGAATGTATCGTTTTCTTCGAAAGTTTTGACAATAAAGCCGACAAAACTTCGGTAAACGCACGCTGAGCGAAAACAAAAATTTTATCAAAAACAGCAATTGAGTTATGAAACTCATATCACCTCCCTGCTTAAGTCAGGTTTTGAAATTCATAAAGTAAATCAATTACCTATGGAATGGGTAGGACATTAGACTTGTTTTTCATGCTGTTGAAAACAAGCCAAAAAGTAAGCAGACAAACGATATATCGATAATAATTTTTTTTGCAAAAAGTACAACTCATAGTCAGAATTGAACCCCAGACCTTTGTGGACCCAAGAATGAGCGTTACCTCCGTCAAAAAGCAAAAAATTGATAATTGGAACCTGATATACATATAAAGTATATTAGTTAGTTCTGTGAAAAGAGTTGTTAACGCGAAAAATTATAGTGCCCGGTTGCAATAGCAACGGTACTCACAATTAATCTCTTCTATAAAATATTATCTTTTGATAGTTTCTGTAGTGGATGAGAGTGATAAATAATATTACATAAATTTCGTTGATAGCGCTGGAAGCTTTAGAGGAAAATTTACTGAAGCACATTGCGAATGCTTTCATTTACTCTTCAAACTCTTTTTACGCTTGCCATTAGCAAGCAGTATTCAACTGGGAAATAGACTCTTTTTTTTCGGGTTAACAACTTGCTCATAATGATTTCAAACTTCTATGCGATCCCGGTCAACTTAGCTTGGAAGTAACGAATATGCCTGGGACGGCAAAGGTTTGGGTTCGAACCTGACCAGGTCTTGTTTTTTTATCGAGCGGAACTATTCAGTTTGAAATAAAAATGTCGGCCAGTTATTGGTCTGCTTATCTGTTGTCGGCTTAGTTGCCACATCTTGGACTCGGTTTTGTGTTATCTGCGCGCTGTTTTCTAAATGTTGCTTTTAGTGTTCGATTTACTCATAGAATTATTAATTTTATTTATCTTGACTTCATATTTCCTTCTTCGTTTTTTTTTGTGTTTCTTTAAAAATTTTTATTTTGGCTAATCTTTATCAGTTTACTGACCTAATTTTAGTTCGGCTTAAGATAAACACAATTTTAACACTCCCCCCTGCTTTTTTCAATCTGATTGTATATTTACCAATCGGTTTAATGGGATTTCTTTTTGTTTTCATTATGGAAACTAAATTCCAATTTATTGAAAAATTATAAATTTTATCAGAAGGTTCTAATGATTTTCAAACAAGCGTTTAAAATTGAAAGACCGCCTCTTCCCGTGTGTGCTTGTATACTCTCCTAGAGTCTCTTTTCACTACACCCCTCTGTCTTCAGGTTTCCAAATGGTCTAAGGGGAAGATTTTTGATTTTATTTTCGCTGTCTCGAAAACTACCGGTCTCAAATCTGAGTTTTTGGTTTTAATGGATAGATTGTTTTGATAATGTCCCTGCAAGAGTGGCTACGCCCAACTTTCTTACACATAAAGCATTTTTTACATGGAATAAACAAATTCTTGATTTTTGACCGTTTTCTGAATCTGTTTGACTTTTCTCGAAAACTAACCTCAATTTTGATAGTGTGCGATTAATGGAGATAGCAATCAGTGAGAAACTCCCCTGTTTTACTGGCCACTCTCAAAGTATTTTACGCAAAAAATTATCGCCCTCGGAAAAAAATCAAATATTTGATTTTTTGACCGTTTCTTAAACTTTTTGAATAATCTCGAAAAAAGCTCAACCATTTCGAGAAAAGCGAGGTTTTGGGTTAAATTCAAGGAATGGGTTATAGGAAGCTCATGCAATTACTCCCAAATTAATTTTTCTAACATCGAATTTATGGCCATCGGAAAAGTCAAAAGTTTTGTTTTTTGACCGTTTTTTGGACTTTTTTCGCTAATTATCCTGCCAAATCTGATATCATACGTTTAATCGAAACAACAGATTTTTGGAAGCTCGCCTTCATCAGTGGCTATGCCCAACTTCTTTTGAAGAAAAAAGTTATGACCTCCAAACAATTCGAAGTTCTGAATATGTGACAGTTTTTTGGAAACTTTTCGACTTTACGCGAAAACTACCGTGCCATTTGTCATGTTGTATTCAAACGATCAAATCGGTTTTGGGAATTTTCTTTGCTTAAGCTGCCATAATTTGCTCTATGTAGGAAAAATTATGGGATTTGGAATGGAATGACATTTGACCGTTTTTTAGAACTTTTGACCATTTAAAAAAATTTTTTTTTTGAGTTTTCTTTAAAATTACCCCAATAAAATCTGAGATAAAAAAAGTTCAATTGAAAGAATTGGTTGCAATAATTTTTCCTACGGAAGCTGCGACTCCTTAACTTTTTGTGAGAAAAATTTTGTCTCCTTGGGAAAATTGATTATCGCATAAATTTTTTACTCTTCTCATTTATTTTAGTAGAGAGACAATTAAGGTTTTGGGCAAAGTCCAATTTGAGAATTGCTTCAAAAATAGCAAATTCATTCAATATTAAACACTTAACTCCCGCTTTAACTGGCCCCTAATTATTTTTTGTCGAAAAATACCAAAAAAATGGTGCAACTCGTTTTTTTTAACATTTAAAATTTTTTGCATTAAGAGTCCAAACTGTATTTTGTGAATTGTAAGTGGAATCTGCAACAAGGATAATCCCTTTGTTCTTCTTTTGTTATTTTATTCTCTTTGATCATTCCGACAAAACTTTACCATGTATCTGGAATCCAGGAACCTTCAGACTCAAAATTGGGCTCCTATCCAGTGCACAGTTTGGCCTCGTAATGTGTCGACTTATGTTTTTTATTTTTATGTTGTATCGCAAGTGGTGCAAAGCTCCGCTTCGTTCTGCGTTAACTCTTAAATAACGAAAGTTTTGTTTCAGAATCTTTCAATCGACGAGAGACAAGAGCTCAAGTAAGTTAGAGCGAGTTCTCTCTGAAATATTGAAATAAACCTAGTCTTGAATCCTAGTCTTCTATCTCTGTTTATCTTTTATCCTAAGATTTTTAATAAAGTGAAGACACTTTTTGGGTTGTGTTTTTTTTTCGAGAAAAATCTTGAAAATTGTTTACGATCAATTTTCAACTTCTATTCAAAATCGTTTGCTAAAAGGAAGGCATATTATGCGATGAAATTCGAAAAATGATTAGTTAAATAGAAAAACTGTCTTTTTAAAAAACAATCTCTTCAAAACATAGTCCCTCAAAAGTTTTCTTTGTTCTATTTTTTTGAGTCCATTGACACTTTTCTGTTATTCTGCTGACTATGCTTAATTTGATTCAATATTTTTTTTAAAAATGGTGACCTTATCAATATTTTTGAAAAAAAATCCAATTCAACTTGCGAATTACAGGATCAAAATTCTTCAATTTCATTAGCTTTGCAAAACTTCGCTTCTACAATTGCAAAAACTGAATCAGTTGATATCCATAGGGTCACTAACCTTGTGTGAAGCTGTTTTTCACTTCTCAGATGGAACATCATAGTGGCGCTGGAGCAGCTGGAGAAACTGGTCGTCTCCTATGATGAGCTGGAAAGAGAGAAGGGAGATTTGGAGCAGGAGGTGAAGCAGAAGGCAATGGACTGCAGTCGACTACAGGACACCATCAAGACACTCGAACAGTTCCTGGAGGTGAGAACAATACTTTTCTTAGTAATATAGCGCGCTGTGAAGCCTAATTATATTAAGGTGAAATACGGCCATCTGTTCAAGCGATGACTATTTTCTTGCTCGCCATAAGCATAAGAAAAGCTCGGGATAGTTTTGTTTCATCTTTCACAAAAAATGACGGCATAAAAACTGCTTATTGTTTTTTTTTTGAGAAAATTGAACTATTTTACAATTAATGATGCGTGCTTCTTGCTTTTTTCTTTACAGATTGGACACATCGCTTTTTTAGAGAATTTTCCCTAAAAAAGAGAATTAGAGAAAGACAAAAGACATTAGTTAATTTCCCAATCATCGTCGTAGTTCATCTTTCTTTTTTATATCTTTCACCCTCACCTGGAGTTTTGTTTGGTGTTTGGTGTGTGCAGGAGTTTGAGGACACGGAGGAGAAGTTGAAGGAGGAGTTGCGGGTGTTGGTGGGGGAGAGTGTGCGGGAGAGGGCGGAGAAGGAGCGGCTGAAGAGACTGTTGAGTGAGGAGAGCAGAGACATTGTCGAACAGGGACCCAATACTGAAGCAGACATCACGGAGGAGATGCACAGCAGATCTGATGACACTGGTGCTAACGGTAGTTATCATAGAATTATTGACAATCATTACGGGACATATATTGTTGTTGCTAAATAATTAAATTTAACCTCAAATACGATGTTAAAATTTCCATGTATTATCGTTCTTTTTAAACTTAATCGGGAACTAGACTTTTAACCCTGGAAATAACTTTTTCCAGGTTCTTTCTCACTTCGTCTGGGGGTAACGCGGTCACTTTTGCACCCTAAGGTGTGCGATTTGAGTATCGGCCTGACCTTGTTTTTTTCAGTATATATCAAATTGAAAATTTTTTCCCGTTAAAAATTGAATTGTTTGGCTTGTCTGCTCAAGTATTGTTGGCTTAGGTGCCATATCACGGATTCTTCTTTAGCTGTAAGCAAGTATCATGATAGCTGCAAGTGTTTTTCATTGATTTTTCAGGGGGCTCGAAAATTCTAAAGATTTTTCATTCTATCATTTTTTTCGCCTCATTTGATGTCTGCTCAATGATTGCCGGATTTGTTTCCGCTTCGTTAGTTTTGTTCCGTTAGTAACTTAACATTCAATAGTCTTGCTTGGTATATATGCCTCCAAATCCTATTTGATAAAAACAAGTATTATTAAAAATATGGGATTAGGTTTTATTATTCTATTTTTTTGAGACTCTAAATTCTAAATTTTCTCAAAAACTACTCAACCAATGTTCAAAAAAGTATCAGTGGAAGAACGACTTACTCCCCTGTGTTCCTGCAGAATACCTTAGTCTCGTTTTACTTGACCTCACTGTCTACAGCCTTTGAAAAAATCAGTGCGGGGAATATTTGACCTATATATATATTTTCGTTTTCTCAAAAACTACTCTCTCAAAACAAAAACATATATTTCAATGGATGAAATTGTTGTGGAAATCTCTCCTGCCTAAGCGGCTACGCCCAAAATTTTTACAGAAAAAACAATTGTCCTCGGAAAAGCCAATTTGTGGTTATTTGACCGTTTTTGAAAATTCGATTTTTGTCAAAAAGTTGTTCACAAATCTGAGTTTTTGGGATTAATTCAAAGAATGAGTTGTAATCAGCTCCCCTGCATATTCGGTTGTGCCCAATTTTTTGTTTTCACGTAGAGTAATGGTCCTCGAAAAGTCATTTTTTTCGTTTTTTCACCATTTTTCTAAAACTTTTTTTACTTTTTTCGGAAAATGTCCTCACTAATTTTCAGTTTGTGATTTCAAATGAAAATACGGGTTGCGTAAATCTCTTCTGTATAATCCATATGCCCAAAATTTTTACAAAAAAGCAATGGTTTTCGGAAAATTCAAATGGTTGATTTGTTGACCGTTTATGGGAAACTTTTTTGGCTTTTCTCGATAATTATCCTGCCAAATCTGATATTAAGGGTTTAATCGAGTTAACAGGTTTTTGAAAACCTACATTTATAATTTAATACGTCTAGTTTTTGCAATGAAAAATTTAAGGCTTTCGAAGAAGTGAAAGTTTTCGCACTTCTTTGAATGCCAAATCTCAGCTTAAACGTTGAATCGAGAAACCCGTTTTTGGGAATTTTCTCAGCTTTAGTAGCCACGATCTACTTTTTGCAGAAACAAGTTATGGATTTTGGAAAATCTTTGGAACTTTTGATTGTTTTTTGAATTTTTTCTTAAAAAACTACCCTATCAAATTTGAGATGAAGAGTTCAATCGAAAACATCTAGTTGCGAAAAACTTTCCTTCAGAAGCGACGATAAGTGGTGCGAATTTCACACTTGTAATATCAATTTGCTTCGTACTCCCAACCGAACGGACCTGGTCACAAGCAGACTAAGTTTCAGCATGTTTGCGTTTTAAATACCCATTCTATCCGAAATAAGCTTTTTTGTTTTGTATAATTTTTTCGCCGTTTTTTTTATCTTTTTTTAAAGAAAAGTTTTCAATTTAAGTTATATCCGCTGGATTGCCTGATATTATACATATAAGCGAGGCTTTTTTTTTACTTCTGTGGGTTAGTTTGGCTGTTATAATAATAAAATAAAAATTTTCAAGTCCGCGATACAAAAATACAGCCATATGAAAAATAAGTAGACTTGTACAACCGCGACTTGAGAGGCTACCAAGTATTACCTGATCACATTCGCCTTGTCTAGGAAAAACTCGACTTTTTCCAACCCTGGGACAATTCGCAAAAGTTTCAATAATTTGATCTTCATGTATACTTGAATAAAGCGGATGTCATCTTCACCTTTGTTTTCAACACAGCTTCTGACGAACAACAGCAGCTGGGACTGACGACAGATGCGATTCGGCAGCTGAAGGAGATGAACAGAGCCCTGAGGCAGCAGCTGGCACTCAGGGAAACACAGCTGGAGGAGGAGCGGGACAAGGTCGAGGAGGCAAGTACACTTCTTTACCTATTCAAAGCAAATGGGGTTCAGAAAAAAATACTGTAGGTTGGGTCAAGGTTGTTCGGATGCCATATTTGGTTTATCTTTATCCTCATACTTTGTTTTCGTTGTTTTTCCCTGCTAGTTGGCACGCTACTTACCACTGCAAATGGCATTAAGTGAAACGTTATTTTTTTCAGCACCTCTAAAAAATTTCGGATATCTGTAATTAAATCTCAGCCTTAAAAGATATAATCCTACGACGCGTGTACCATTATTGTACTGCCCGAATATCCCGTCCGTAATATGTGAGATTTCTAAAGTGGTTCCATTTCAAAAGTCTATTTTTTCCGTCGACTGGCCTAAGAAAACTTATTGTTTCTACCCATTTTTTTTAGTTCACGAGCTGACGTATATTGAGTTTCTAAACTGAACCATTTATTTCACTGCAGTTATTTAAAAAGCATTGATTTAAAATAAAATGCTTTACGAAAAAGCATTGATAGTAATAAAAACCTGAAATTGTTTTTACATTTATACGCATAGCACAGCACACCGATTGCCCATGTAAACTATCCCCCCCCCCCCCCCAAAAAAAGACCAAGTGAAAAATCTCCCCCTAAAATTGAACGACAAACTCAAGTTGTAAGGGTTTTATGTACTATGCTCAGAGTTTTAGGGTCAGAGGCTTGGCCCGATTGCTTATGCTAATAAAAATGAGCAGAGCCCGGCCCGGCCCGTAAAAAATTGTTCGCCTGGTCCCAATGATTCTCCGCCGTATTTCCAGACAGCAAATTTCTCCATTTTCAAAAGCAAAAACTGAACTATAAGAGCGTTGAATGAAAGTGGCTTTTTTGTAATGAATTTTTTTTGTAATGAAAGTGACTTTTTTGTAATGAATCTTTGCTAATTGATTGCAGCTGAACACGTTTGTGGACGAGATAGAAGACTTCTCGGTGGCGTTGAAAGGGAAAGTGGACAACTTGGAACGACAGATGGATGCTCTGAATGGAGAGCGAGATGAACTAATAGAGCAGAATGAGAGACAGAGGGAACAGATAGAAGACATGAGGAGGATGCAAATGGAGGAGAGCAAGCTGCACAAACAGTCCAACACTTCATCTTTCATCCAGAGGGTAACACATCGCATCTTCAGTGAAAAACGTCACGTCACGTCCATTGTAGCCGAGGCCGGCTCTTTTGCATCATAGAACCAACAACAAAATTACAGCCCAGCCACACTGTGTTTTTGTTTTATGAAAGGGGGCTATAATTGGAGATTGCTGGGGATACGCCCCTCTAATGCGTGATACCAATACCGATTATCATAGCGAATAACACATGAAAACATTTGATGCAAACAAACTTGAAATAATTTCCGACTGAGATGAACCAGTCATCTTTCAGTATTCTCACCATGATAATGGGAAAGCATGAAAAAGTAGCCCTAAGCAGTCATTTTATCAGAGAAAAGCCAATCTTGCGCTTGGAGTTTTTCGGTAGAAAAAGCTTTAGGCTTGGAAATATTTGAGCGTCTGTGAGTTTATTGCTTCTATTTTTCAACAACGATGGTAGAAACATTTTTGTTCAGACTATCTCAGTGGAGTCGCTTAACAACGTGGCCATCTTTGATGAAATTGCTGCTATTCCTGGTCTATCCACTGTGAGTGAGAACTACTCAGAAGACGAGCGATTCAACACCAACTCGCGCCAAGTTAGTCCCTAAAGTGACATCCAAAGCCAGACTCGTTTTGTTTTGCAACCGTTTCGACACCCCCCCCCCCATCAGCTTTCCAATCTTCCTTGCTTTGTACACTGTTTCTGTTACTGTACGGCATTAAGTTCTGCTTTCGCTTATTTAAATCTCAGTATTTTTTCGTTTGTCACTTCGGGTGCTTGATTTTTTTTTTAAATTTTAAGTGAAATCTACTTTGGTACGGATTTCTCTATGCTGATCATAAAAAAATCGTAATTGATATTAAAATGATTTTTTTTGTGAAATTTTAAGGAGAGCGGTGATAATTTGACCGAGGAAGAGGCTTCTTACGCTGAAGTGGTTCAAGAGTTTCAGAAATTTTCCGCCCTACAGGTAAAGATTTGGGTTTTCCAACTAATTAAATAGTAACAAGCTTCACTAGAGAATAATTTGTATAATTGTGTTCCTTCTTTTCAGAACTTTTGCATCGAGTTCGCTGATAAATTGAATGCCCCTGAAGTAAAAAACGACTCATTTACAACAGAAAAAGGTCATGCTAACTACACTTTAAACGGAGCATTCGATGTTTTGTCATCTCAACTTCAACCTTTAGTTAGTTATTGAGTACTCATTCTTGGCATTCGTCAAAAATTGCAAAACTGGATAATTTATTAGAATACAGAAGCCATGTTTAATTTAAAAAATTTTGAATCAATTTTGAAGCAAAATGGTAAAATTTAACTTTTCATCGTGAATGTTAATTAAAACTAGACTACGATTTTTGCGTGGAATCTGAGAAATGTTGTGATTAATAATAAATTTTTTAATATTAAGAACTACGCCGACGATGTCAAAGAACAGTTCGCGACCTTCCTCGAATCTCAGAAAAGCCATCCCTCAGTCGAGTTCAAACAGCACCTTTTAAGTGTAGTGACCAAATTCATCTCCAACTCAAGCCACTCCGTCTTTGAAGAGAGTTTTCCTATTTTGGCCATATCTCTGATGGGCGCTCCTGAAATGCAAGAGGACAACCGCTTAACGATGGCTGAAATCATGCACGATACTTGCTGGACAAAACAGGTAAATCAAAATTCATAGCGGATCTCCAGCTTTTATGGAAAAAATATCATCCAAGAAATATCACATTTCGGCGGCTCTAGTACGGTGGTTTTTTTGTGGCACTTAAGATTATTAGTGGTACTCACCAAAAACTTATCGGCGTAAAAATGGTTTTCAGTCAAAACAAACTTTTCTGTATAAAACAACGATAATTGGTAGCGTCACATTACCTTTCCAGGCCTATTACATTGCCTTTGTTGGTTTTAATCGATTTTCTTTATAAGACCGCTCAAAAACCGCTTAAAAACCGCTCAAATCTTGCTTGAAAACCCGTTCAAAATCACCGCAAGAAATGAGCGGTTTTTTAAGCAAGATTTGAATGTTTTGAGCGGTTTTTTCAAAAAAAAACCGCCCAAACCGCTCAAATCTTGCTGAAAAACCGCTCAAACCGCTCATATCTTGAGCGGTTTTTGAGCGGGATCTCGACCCGGGAGTATCATAAAACTTCCGACCACTCTGATTTAAAAAAAACACCAAAAAATGTTGAAAAAAAAAGAAAAATCGTATTTTTTAAGAAAAGGCAATCGATAGGCGAAAAATGCCCGAATGATTGGTAAATAATATCTAAAATAACGTTAAAAGTATAGTAGAAGTAAATTAGACTCTAAACAAGTCCCTAACAACCTTTATAGCTCAAACGGAGCGTAATGTATCACTAGGAAGCAATTTTCCCCTACCAAAGCCGCAAACAAAAGTGCCAATTGAGAGCAATTTCGAGAATCAGAATCCATATTTTTTTTGTTTTTATCCAATTCAAGCCTAAAAATTTGCATTAACCGTTTTTGTTGATTTAAATATAAACCATAAAGACCACGAATTTTTATTCATGATTTCTTAAAATGTAGCAAACTAGTTATTCATCAAAAGAAAAGAATCAACCCAGTTTTTACCGAAAAACCTTTGAACAGAAATCAGTATCATGTAGATATAGGTCTCTGAGTTTATGAACAAAACAGTCTAATTTAGTTGCTGGGCATCTTTAACAAAATCTTATAGTCTCGTTTGACAAGACTCTGTTGTAGACGTAGAAGACTCTTTTTAATTAGTATCTGTTGCTGTTCTAATGATGGCTAATATTAGTTTACTTCCAAGCGACCGTGGTGCAAAGGTGAGGACGTAAAATGTACAAGTTGGAGATTCAAAACATTATTTCATATAGGGCACTTTTGTCGCATAGAGATGGCATTTTAAGAGGAATTGTAGCTTTTTAACTTTATAGGTAGATACTGAAGTTAAGTTTGAAGACATCATGACATCGTTCCAGATCAGAGTTTCAATTTAGTGAAAATTATGTTATTCGAGGATTCTTTATTCTTTTGTTCCGACCAGCGGGTGTGTTTTTGATTTTTTATTATTTATTTGAACTCGAGCAAATAAAGCGACCCGAGTGAAGTTATTTGAACTCGAGCAAATAAAACAACCCGAGTTTTTTAGCGCCATTTTTGGTATCAAAAATTCAAAAAAATTGCTTCCAACAAATTAAAATTAAAATTAAGATTTTAAGTTTTTCTAGTCTAGAGATTTCCACTCCGGTATATAACAGAATTTTGATTAGTTTCATTTTTTTAACGTTTTGAGCTAGTTTTGCCGCTTGTGTTTGCAAAATGCAGCTTCGAGTCAAATTTAGTCTGGAAAAATCAGAGCACTTTTATTCGACTTTGAGACGTCTGCGTTGTTTTTTTTTCTTTAATTGCGGTCACAGCCAAAAGGGCTTTGATATGATAAAACGCTTGAACCATATGAGCTTTCTGACAGAAGAATACGCCATAGTTCCCTCTTACGCCCTAGTGGAATGGTCGAAATAACAAGTCCTCTTGTATCAGGGCAAAAACTTGAATTTTCAGATTTTATTTTTCCCGAATTGTTTAAGGAAACTATTTTTTTCAAAAAGTAGTTTTTTTCTACATATTACCACACTAAAGGAAACAACTAAGTTGTGCTTCGCTCCTACTAAAACATTGTTTGGATCAACTAACGTGTATTAAATAAATTTTGAAGGATATCTGAGCTGGATTACTTTGAGGCATTTGCTACGCCGTTTATGGTGCATTAGTTATTCAAAATTGCCTAAATAAGCAGTTGTCAAAAACACAAAACTTTAATTCTTTTTTGAATCAGCCAAAATCATAGAATTTAAGCAATAGCAAAAATGAATTCGAGCTGAATAAAAGTATCAGGTGCGCTCTTAAATCATAAAATAAGACAGACAGATACTTTGCAGTTTAATTAATTGAGTAATGATTGAGTTAATTTAAATGTTTGTGTGACATTTGAAACATTTTAAAACTTTTTTAGAATCCAGAAGCCGAAGAAAACCTACTCGATTACTCAAAAACAAGCAAGGAAGAATCGCAAAAAGCAATCAAAGATTCCAACGAGCCGCAAAACTTTACCCCGGAAGCAGTTTGCAATGGTGTCGAAAAAGGTTTTGTTAATGGGTATATCAACTCAATTGATTTGCTTGATACTTCTCGACAAGAACCGCAACCAAAATCCTCAGAACAGCAACTTGAATTACAAGAAATTGTTGAGCCGAAAGACGACAAAGACGAGCGAAGCAGAACTATGACACTTGAAAGTAGCAACGAAGAAATGAGAATGAACGAAAACACTCCGATGAATTATGAAACTGCAGCGATAAATTTGGATCTAACAAAAATTTCAATGGAAAACGCGCCAAACTTTACAGTGGACAGAGTTTCAGAACAAAACAATGCTGAAAGCACCAATAAAGATTTGATTATGGCGGCTTTAGATCCAAGAACATCTACCAAAGACGAGCTCAGAAGCAGCATTATTCAAAGAAGACGAACTATTCTTAGCACTGATGTTTCGCCTTACAGAAAGGAAATGCAGCGAAAAACAAGTAGGCTCGGGCGTGCTGTGAGCATTAGAGCTCCGAGTTACCTGCAAACCCTTGACGAGCTATCGGGAGGAGCTGTTCGAAATGACTTCCGAGAAAGGTGAGGACTCAAAATTGCTTTCGGTACAGCCCTGCATTTTAAAATATTGCTTAGAATACCCAGTAATCTTCACACTAACATAAAAAAGCTACGGTTCAACCTTTGCTTAACCGGTCGAAAAATGTTGTAAAAAACCTTCACTCCCTCGGAAAAATTCTATATCTGCCCTACTTTGGTCAAAACGAAAATCCTTCTTGCATAGGTCCTGTTCCGAGTTTGTGGGGGGTCCCAATTCAACTGTGGGCGTGGCTTCTTCTAATGGAGTAGGGGGTGGGGCTATGCGGATGTTGAGCCACCAGTCCACAGTAGATGTGATGCAGCAGAGTGAGATGAGGAAGCAGAAGCGGTCTATGTGGTACCAGCAGAAACAGCAGAAACATATCACCAAAGGCAATAATCAGGTCGGAAATGTCAAGTCAAGTCCGTCAAAAAGTTTCAAATATATTCAATCCGCAAACAACCGGACCGAACTCACTATCTCACTTGTCACAAAACTTAAGCGACGCACGCTAAGCTGAATTGATCAGAAATGGGCTATCATTTGGGTCTGAATCCAAAATTGTTTTGGGATTTACCCAACAACCATCTGAGAAACTATTTCATGGTTTTTTGGGGCTATTTACTGCATTTTTTTTTGGCCAACCTTAAACTAACCTTAATTTTGATGATACAACACGATTGTTTTGTCGCAGCCTTCCAAGAATTGTTTGAAAAAGCCAAATATCTAGAAATTTGCTTGGTCGTCAGGTTTTGCCTGCCGTAGAAAAATTTTTAGCTCAGTTACAAAATGTTTCAACGTTTCAAATCCTCCATCAAAAAAACCTTGTACACTCCTCTGTCGAAAATTGAACTAAGCTTCGTAAAAAGTGAGTGGATTTTTTGGTCAATAATTTTAGAGATGTTATGTATGGATGCTTAACTACAGTCACTGGACAAAGAGCTTGCAACTTTTAGTTTTCAAGCGATGAAGCGATGATTGTTTTACTTTATCCCGGTTCCTCTGCGACCACTAGAGATTGACGGTTGAAACTTTGACATATGATGAATGAAACTTTTAAATCGAATTTAGCCGGATAAAAACCGTAAAAAGTTGTTTGGACATTAAATTAGAGTGCGTCAGAGATGTGTTCTTAGTGCCAAAAGATCCCCGAAACAGCAGAAGCAGTTTGAAACTGTGGACTTGGAAGTATTCGTAAGAAAGCTAAGGATCTAAGCTAGGCCCTCATTGAAACTTCGCTTCTCATTAAAAAGAGCTAAAACGTTTTTTCACCTCTTGAACAGAATTTGACTGAAAATTCAGCAACTTATTTAGTAAAATGACAAATTTTGAGTTAATTCTTATTTTGTAGCTGAGTTATTTTTTGTATTCAACTTTTTACGGTTTTTATCCGGCTGTATTCTTAAAAACAGTTTCATCCATCATATGAAACTGTTTATGAGAACATTTCGTTTATAACATCACCAATTCGTTGATGTACAGTACTCTTGATAAAAAATTGCTCAAATGTTGAAATTTAGCAAGCTATTGATGTTCTGAATCTCTCGTGGCCTATTCGGCCACCAAATGGTCCTTTTAGTGCCCCTCTGGTTCAAGATTCGACTTGTAATTGCGCGTTTAGACCAGATCAGAGAAATAATTTTTTCATCTCATCCATTTGTCCAAGTTTCAACCGTGAATCGCTATTAGTTGTAGAGAATCGTGAAAAATTCTTGTATTGTATCAGTTGAGAACTAAAAATTGCAACTTCTGTGTGCGCTGGATGTATCTATACTTTTCTAGGAAACGGGCAAACTGACGTCCGAAAAATCTGACCTCATTGTGGCCGAAAAGCTCATGTCGTTCAAAGAGCCCGAAGTGAATGAGGACGGGATGATGCTGATAGACCCCAAGGATCCGAACAGACCCAGATTCACGAAGCAGGAGTTGATGCAGGTGATAGAAGAGAAGGCCAATCTGAGCATAGCCAAGATGCACTTGGAGGATGAACTGGGTGCTTTAAGGTCGGTTATGTTTTCTAATCAGGGTTTATTTGTTCTAAATCAGTGAAATCAGGCGCGGATCTAGGAATTTCTTATTTTCGAAAAAATTTGGAAAATTTTGTCGACCTTTTTTTTAGGTCGACCAAATTGATTTTGTGAGCCCTCAGAAACCGCTATAAAGACACAAATTTTCTGAGCCGGAGGCAAATTTTTGAAAAAAGGCCAAAAAAAGGCGTTTTAGGCAGTTTTTGGAAAAATTTGACCAAAATATCGCGTTTTTTCGGCGCGCGCTCCTCTCCTGAAAATTAGTATAGATTGGCGCCGAAGGCGCCTTTAGAAATATTTTAAGGTCAGTCAGCCAGAAATGGATATCTCAAAATAGTACAAAGGTGGGACCCTTTGGGTCGGCTGGGGCTCGAATCCCCCCCCCCCCCCCCCTAAATCCGCTACAGAGTGAAATACTGAAAAGTTTCTGAGATATACTGATGGTATTGAAAAAACTGTCATGGAAGTTCATCTTAAACTGCTTCTATTTAGACTCCAACTGGAGGATTTGAGAAAGAGCGCTGCCACCCAAACATGGACTGAGAGAGGAGGCGGCCGAGGCAAACAGAAATTATCGACTACGTCTTCCATCCGGAGACTGTTAGCATTCAAACACATTCTGCCCCACATGACTTATTTAACCAATCTCACCACTTGTGTTCTTCTTGTTGCAGATTCGGGATATTCGGCGGCAACAACTCCGCAGCATCCTCCAGAAACCGACACTCTCGGGGGCCCACTTTGTTCCGCTCGTCGGCTGAGCCACGCCGTCAGAGCCAGCCGGTGGTCATAGCGAAAGACAGCCGCGCCCCCTTAGTTGTTCACCAAGTGCCTCCGTCACTTTTTGACCCGAAAGTTGCTATACGTCGCCAGTCTATTGAGGACTCGCAACGTCCAAGGAACAACACTATGTCTCCGTCTGTAATCAGAAAAATTTCAGCCAAATATAGGAACAAAGATAAATTGGTTACTTTGCATCTGCCTTCGAATCAAAGAAGTTCATACGATCCCCAACAGTCGCCAACATCACCAGATTCGTATAAGTTAACTCACTCAACTAGCCATTAAAAACTGATCCATTTTGGTAGAATTGTAATCTATTTGTTATTGATGAAATAAATAGTTAATGAATTAATAATTGTATCAAAAATAGTTGGAAAATTAACTATCTGAAACTAATTTGGCACTATAGAAATTCAGATAACCCAGTGTTACCTGAGCTTTGCAGGACAGCATTATTCTGAATCAAGTAGATCTTTAGGTAGGCAATTTTAAAGAATGATGGCTAGATATTGTTTTTGCTTTTATGTTGTGATTGATGTAGACGGATTCAATAGTTTCAAATTATTCGAGTTGCATTGACTAGCTGTTCTGAATTTATTCCTGTATAACACTGAAGGAATCATGGAAGCTCTTCCTGAGCAAAAGCTCTTCATCACGAAATTACTTTTTTTTACTTTCAAAACGAACTAAAAGTTTTTACGTCCCCTTTCCCCTCATAACACACGCACAGGCATACAAAAAAATAGCCAAAACCTAATAAGCCAAAATTGCGTGCAGCACTAAAAAAGATTACAAGATATGGTAACTAAGCCTGCAAAACATTATTAAGTCCACAATTAAAATGCCAAAAACTTTGTTCAAAACAGAATATTCCCGTTTAAAAATCAAGTCCTGATCAGATTCGATGCAATGCCCTTTGCGTTCCAGGCGAACTCGTTACTCAAAGGGCCGGGAACACTCAGAAATTGGAATTAATTATGAAACAAGGAACTACCTGAGATGAGTTGGGAAGCGTAAATGAGGTGAATTCTCTGAACAAATTTATTTACGGGAAAAAAGTTTAGTAGACGATTGCAATACCCTTGCTTATCACAAGGGTAGTTATTTGTTATTGCCAGGTTTCAGTGCCTTAGGAAAACACTAAGATTGTTTAAAAAAGAAAAAAGTGAGTGTATTGAAAAGAGCCGTACTGTAGAGTTCAATTAGGATCAGTAGCGGATATAGGAGGCGGGTTGATTTGGACGCTCTTCCTTCCTAAAGGGTTCGACCCCCTGATTATACAAAGGGTCCCCTCATAGTAACATTTAGGACCTCTATTTTTGGCTAGCGGACCCTAAAGTTTTTTGAAAGGCGCCTTTGACGCTAATGTATACTACTTTTCACTGGGAAGCGCGCGCCGATTTTTTGGTCAAACTTGACCTAAAAGTGCCTAAAAACGCTCCTTTTGGCCTGTTTTTTCTTCAATCTCGTCTGCTTTTTTTGGTGATTTGAGAGTGTTCTGAAATTCAATAAGGTTTAACTAAAAAGGTCGACAAAATTTTAAACTTTTTTTGAAAATTCGCCCCTCGAAAAAATCCTAGATTCCTGATTGGGATATTCTATCGTCTGAATTTTTTTTTTGGGTTAACAACTTGTTTAACAAAATCCTTTGAATAACTATACTTAATTCACGTGCACTTTTAGTCCGTTTGAATTTAACAAAAAAAATCGGCATGAAGGGATTCTGCTCAGATGCTTTTTTTTCTTTTTTTCCTTTTTCGATTCGCTTAAAAAAATTTATTCGGCCCAAATTATGTCATGCTAAAACCTTGAAAACTTAAAAGTAAAACACAGGTCTACTGCTACTACTGACAAAACTCTTTAAAAATTACATCAGTACTCTTGATATTGAAAATAATGAAAATTTTTTGTCTTTTCCATCAAACTTGGAACAGAGGTAATGACTACGTCTGAGGTGGCAAAGGTCATGGGTTTGTATCCACGCAAGTCTGTTTTATTTTAAAGACAGGTTATTCCGTTTCAACAAAATTTTCAACATGACGTTTGCGTGATTATGTTCTGTCGGCTTAGTTGCCGCTGCTTTTCATTCTCTATGTAAATGATTATGCAAAAAAAAACAACAGAAGCAAGAATTTAGCACAATTTGCTGATGAGCGAAAAATTTTATCTCTAGGAAATTCAATGTTGAAATTAGGAAAACCGATGCTGAAAATACTAGAGAAAGCACATTAATACTTGAAGAAAACAAGGTTGTTTTAAATATTGATAATATAGCCCATCGAAAATGGGAAAAGAGTAATGAACGCAAGTAATCATTAAAAAAACATTGACTTTGGTAAAAAAATCTCAACTTTCGAGTTTTAAGGACCAAACTAGATGCCCTTCAAGCTCCTGAATTTTCTAGAACGATTTTGATTGGCGCTTTTTGATAACATCAACCCAACTTGAGAAAATCGGATCAACAGGCAAAGTTTTTATTCGGCTGGAAATCTAAAAGTTAACTTCGACTTTCGAAACTAGAAATCGTTCACGTTTTTTCGCTCCATTTCAACGTTTGTGTTTGGATAGTGATATTTTCGTCACTTTCAGCAGATAAATTTCAATTGAAATCAAAAAATGCATATATACCTAATTGCATTCATGTCTGAATGTACATCTGTAGTTATTAGAGCATTTTAGGACTTTTCCATGAAAAAAAAACAAAAAAATCACCAAGACCTATAAAAGAGTCTTCACTACGTTCATTATTCTTAAAATCAGAAATCAATGATTTGGAGAAGAAAAGAGTTACTGACACATTATCTATATAAACGAAAACATTTTCGCTACTAACACTCCAGAAACCGCATTTCCACTACTAACACTCTAGTTTCATAATAACAGACAACTTAACTGGGGAATAAAAATGTTCTAGCTCCGTAAAACAACAAATCATCCACAAAATCTATATCTCAAGTCTGAAAATTTATCAACTGAACTATGCAGCACCCAATTTAGCCCAACTGAAATGTTAAGTGTGGCGAAAAATTTTAAGATACAGTAAAATGGAATGGCGATGTATTATGAATATGTGTGTAAAAAGCAATCGCACAAAATAAATTAAACGAAATAAAATTTTAAAGACAAATAAGCGAAAAAAATCTGTGCATTCGAAAAGTTTCGGCCAGAGTATTATCGCTCTCATAAACAATATTCGAAAACTGTATGAAATCAAGTTTTTGGTAAATAAGTAAGCCAAACTTGGCAAAAAAGACGCATAGACAAAATAAAGCAAAATTGGCATCAGAAGAAAACTTACAGCGTGGTAATAAAGCCAAAAATACCTGAGCAAAACCCATCAAGTAGAAAAAAATTTAAACAAAACTTGAAAATATTGAAAGTTTCCATTGCCCTCAAAACACACACAAGCAGACAAAAAAACATTTTGAGCTCATCAAACGGCGCAATATGAGGCCAGCAAGCCAATATAAAATGGGCCAAAACCTATTAAGCCGCAAAAAAGGACAAAAAAAACTAAATTTTAACAAATCGAGTTGGTAAAACTACAAGAAACATAAAGAGACAGTTTTGATTGGGAAGGATTTCTAAATAGCTAAAATGCTCAAAATACGTATGTAGTTTCAAACAGAGGACCAGGAGATGAATGAGTCCAGGAGAACAGTCCTGTGAACAAAGTTATTTATGAAAAAAAAGCCTAGTACCCGATTGCAATATATTAGTATTGATTTATTCGGTTTTATGTTAAATTGTAATTGTATATAAGCATTTTATAAATGGATGTCGATTTGACCAAGTGGATAACATTTTTGTGAAAAAAAGTATATTTTACGCAACGAAAAATGCAGATGAGCGAGATCAAATACATAATCAAAATATTTTTTTCTCTAAAATTTTACACGAATGATAGAACAAGGACGGACAAAAATCGTCTCTAAATGTGCTGAACTTTCAATGATTGTACCAAAATGAGCACATTAAGATTACCTGCAAATAGTTTGAGGACCTTCAGGAGTGAGAGTCTGGTGCCATGTATCTGGTTCGCCTTCAAGGCATCTTCTTCAGATCCATTCTAAATAATCAAACTCACCAGCTCAAAACAGATCAAGTGATACAGATGCACATTAGAAAACTTTTCAAAAGGGGGATTTGTCTCAAGGTCCAAAATTCGCATTTGCTCAAGTGTTTAATTCTCTAGTGGGGATTCGTTACAAGGAACTACAAGGAGGGAGGGGGAGTTAACAAAATCCCTCTTTCGGTTGACATAACTGCAGGATAATATTTGCCTTCAGTAAAATAAACAATCCAAATAACCGATTACGAGAGATGTTCATTTTCATTTCGATTCCAACTAAAAATAGTGGTCCTTACTATCAAGTCAGAACCTCGGACACTTTCGAAAACCGTCGACAACCGTATATGCTTTCTACATTGATTCAGAAACGTGGGAACGAACTATCGTTCAAACGTTCGAGGGCAGATCGCTCGTTTTTTATATTTCAGAAAACATGTGAGGGACTTTTGAGTTGATTGTATCTCTCAAAGAAGAACAGTTACCTTGAAAAAAGGCAGCACCAGAAGATACTCCGCTTGAGACGACGAGGAGGGATTGATCACTGTTGAGTCCACTAACCTAATCAACGAGACAACTCACTATTATACAGGGGCGGATTTAAGGGGGACGCCCCCTCCCTCAGGGATTCGACCCCCTACCGACCCAAAGGGTCCCCCTTTGAACTATTTTGAGATATCCAATTGTGGCTGACTGACCCTAAAATTTTTCTATACTAATTTTGATAGGTGGGCGCGGGCCAAAAAACGCGATTTTTGGTCAACATTTTCCAAAAAGTGCCTTAAAACGCCTTTTTTTGGCCTGTTTTTTTTTCAAAATTTTGCCTGCGGCGCAGACAATTTGGCCAAAATAGGGACAAAACAGTGCTTTAAGAGAGCTCCAAAAATCAATTTGGTCGATCTAAGAAAAAAAGGTCGACAAAATTGTCCAAAATTTTTAAAAATCCGCCCCACTCGAGAAAATCCTAGATCCCCCCCTGCTATCGAATCATCATAAATGAATTCGTCCAGAAAGAGGGTCTGAAAAAACCAGAGCAGAATCATGCAATCAAGACATTACAATTGACATAGTAAGAGTCATTCCACCTGAATTGGATTTCAAGTCACCTATTGAATATATTTGGCTCCTTAACATAGAAAAATTACTCACGAAGTTTCCGGTTAAAATATAATTTTAACTGGTCTAATACTGAAAACGTGTACAAAATTTTTTAGTTTACCTTTGAAAAAAACTGAGAATCATTCGGCGAGAATTGGGACAAAAATCTAATTCAAAAAGTTGATAAAATTGAACATAGCTAATCGAAGATTGGAAACGAGTAATGAACGCAAGTAAACATAAAAAACACTGACTTACCTGAAAAAAACCTCAACTTTCGAATTTCAAAAAAAATAGATACCCCTTAAGCTCTTCGAATTTCCAGAACAATTTATTATTGGCGCTTTTTTGATAACATGAACCAAAGTTGAGAAAACTGGATCAACAGGTAAAGTTTTTATTCCGGTGGGAAATCTCAAAAATAAATTCCACTTTCAAAACTAGAAATCGTTCACGTTTTTTGCGTCATTTGCACGTTCGTATTTGGAGAGTGATATTTACGTCTTTTTCAGCAGATGCATTTCAATTGATCTCAAAAAGTGCATTATACCTGAGTGCATCAATATTTTAAGTCTTTTCCTGAAAAACAAAACAAAATCAGCAAGACCTATATAAGAGTAGTCACTATGTTCATTTCTCTTAAATAATACCTGAAATAACGATTTTCTCATATGTTTCCTATCTAATATGCACATAAACTAAAGACTACTACAAATAGTTTTGCTTAAATTTTCAAGAAAATGATAAGGTCAGCTGGCACGAATACCATTTTTGTCGCACATAATCTTTCACGACAGATCGATCAAACAGAAATGTCATTTTACTGCTCCAATGAAACCGAATCATTTACCAGATGATTCAATACTGAGCTCAGATTGCGTAATCGGGTAATACCGATTCAACGTAGAGTATACACACACGCGCAGCGGAACGTCGCACCACTTGCAATGCAACACAAACATTGAAAAAAAACATAAGTCGAAAAGAATGAACAACTTTAAAAAACGTCGTATAAGTTTAATGTCTCGATATTGTTAATTCCAGCAAATATGCCAGACACTTGAATTTCAAATCAGCAAAAACGGAACAAAACTTACGAAAAGAAACAAATCAGACTATCTTTGAGCAGACAAGTTGAGCAAAAAAAAAAAGATTTTATAAAAAAAAAGTTTTAAGTCCCACCTTAAACAGCAATGGACAACACTTGCAAATGCAATAGCAATGAAAACTGTTTACAAAACAAGCAAAATTAGTGATGTGACAATTAAGCCGACAATCTTTGACCAGACACCAACTGAACCGAAAAAAAAAGACGGATTTTATGATTTTTTTGAATCTATTTTTTAATCTTTCAAGTCTCTCCCTGAAAACAGAATGAACAACACTTTCACTAGCAACTACAATGAAAACTGTCTACAGCACAAGCAAAATCCGCTGTGGCAATTTGGCCGACAAAACTTGAGCGAACAAAAGAAAACCCAACAACTCATTTTTCTGATATTTTTTGCCAATTTCCTTGATACTGAAAAACACCAAGTCCGGCCACGACTCGAACCCCAGGCTTAAAGGTACAAAGGCAATTGTTTTACCTCGAAGCCAGATGTTAAGAGAAGAGAAAAGATGTCAGCAAGTGATTTAACTAATTTTGTTACACTATTTGTTAACCAGAAAAAAAGTATAATCCAGTTTGAAAACGCTTGCTTATCGCACGCGTAATGATGAAACTAATTACTCCGAAAAAAATCTTTCAACGTTAACTGCGTTTTTTCCCGGTCCATCATGCAATGACCTCCCACACAAAACTCAATTCGTAAGTCTAACTTCTTATTCAACAATCGCTACTATCTTATATTGAACAGACTTCCTTAGAAAAGCAATTTGCAACATAAAACAAACTCATTGCAAAATCTCTCCAACGCATTCGACTATTGATCATGGATTCTTACAAAAAAAATTTCTTACAAGATGTTAAATTTTTCGAAACTAAGACACATACACAAATTTTTTCATAAGCAACGGCCAGCAAAAAAAATTGTGCATGGTTTTGTATTACAGAGATTCTCACTTAATCAAGGGGTTATGCAGGGTAGTGTATTGTGACACCATTTTTTTCAATTTATATAAAATTGATCTTAATAAACAATTGGTCGTTATAAAAAATTGATTGAGAAACGATTCCTGTAAGACTGTACAACATGGCAAAGACACAATGGTATTTTCTAAACAACAAGATGAGAATCTTGCACTACTGGAAGTATGCTGCAAAAATTCCGAAAGTTTTGAATCCCTTTTTCGTAAATTGGATACAAAAAAGCCTGAAAAGTTATGCTCAGTTGAAAATCTTCAACAGAAACGAAAAATTTTTTCTAAATGAAATTTTCATGAAAAAAAAACAAATATTAGGCACATTGGAGTTGTTTAAGAGCAGTTTTTGATATTCTAAGGAGAAGATTAGATGAGCTAAGTAATACAGACGTTGGAAATTGAAAAAAAATCGATAGGTCAATACAACTACTCCAAATCAAACAAGATTATTAGTCACGAATGTGTTCGTGATAAGTCACCTACACTATCCAGCCATTCGTTTGAACGGAACTGGTACAATTTTGAGCTAACTCATGAATGCGCTCGTGATAAGTCACTTACACTATCCAGCCATTCGTTTAAAATGAAATTGTACAAGTTTGAGCTTATCACTTCAAAAACAATTGGATTGCGCTATGAACACTTGAAATTAGAAATTCAAAATCCAATAACTGCTATCTTTCACGACAGATGGATCAAACAGAAATGTCATTTTACTGCTCCAATGAAACCGAATCATTTACCAGATGATTCAATACTGAGCTCAAATTGCGTAATCGGGTAATACCGATTCAACGTAGAGTATACACACACGCGCAGCGGAACGTCGCACCACTTGCAATGCAACACAAACATTGAAAAAAAACATAAGTCGAAAAGAATGAACAACTTTAAAAAACGTCGTATAAGTTTAATGTCTCGATATTGTTAATTCCAGCAAATATGCCAGACACTTGAATTTCAAATCAGCAAAAACGGAACAAAACTTACGAAAAGAAACAAATCAGACTATCTTTGAGCAGACAAGTTGAGCAAAAAAAAAAGATTTTATAAAAAAAAAGTTTTAAGTCCCACCTTAAACAGCAATGGACAACACTTGCAAATGCAATAACAATGAAAACTGTTTACAAAACAAGCAAAATTAGTGATTGCAGAATTAGCAAAAAACTTGAAAAGCCATTATTTGTTGAAAGATATAATGATCAATACAAGGAAAAAAGTTTGCGGAAAATCACTAACACTAAAGAAAATCACTGAACACAATATATCCTCAGATGACTTTTGACTTAAAGAAAAAAGTAAGGAAGGTTTCAAACTAATTCATATCATTAGTTAATGAAAAATACACCGTGACAAACTATGGTAAGCTTTCATGGGGAAACTTTAAATTTACTTAAATGTTTCGGTCGATTTTCATGATGATAATTCAAAATTTCATTACTCATGACCCTAATACCAAACTAATTATACATGTAGAGGCGAAGTTAACATACACTTGCCTTTTGAATAAGTTTTTAAATTGAAAAAAAGGTTATATTTTTAAGGATTCTCAGCTCACTGTCTTCAAACTTAATTACCAACGTAGCAATTGTTGACCAAGAGGCGAAGCTTCGCTTCGCAACCACTAGCGAGAATACGACAAGAAGCAGCTATTAAGTGCAATCTCAGATTCAATCTGAGACCTAGTGCTTATGAGTCTCACGCACTCAGCAGCAGCCACGGACGCTAAGTGACCTACCGTAGAATGCCCTCCCCAAGCATGTATTAAATCTGAAAACTGATTCCGTATAAAATATGCATTTAATGATATCGCGCAAATAAAACTGATTTCGAGAATTTGTATGCTGGGTTGTATTTGTATTGCTAATAATTGCCTAGATTAATGTTTCAATTAGTAAAACGCTTAATTTTGAAATAATCTAGGATATTGTCGAAGTTAGATCAAGAAAAAATCCATACCCCCTCATTTGATTTGGCAAAAATTGTACGGTTGATACTCCAATGCTACAGATTGGGATTATAGCAAAAGTGATGCCAAATAAGTGAACACTTTTAATTGCGAGTTAGGTTTGAAAAAAAAGGTTCTTCCTAATATACTACGCTTTGTCAGCTCGCAAGTGTAAAAAGAAAACGCAATAATACCTTTACGCACTTCTAGACTTACCATAAGTAGTACAACATTTTCTACCTTAAAATAGTTTTAAGATCTACGTCATTCGGCTCCACCTTCTCGTCTTTTGGTGACCATTACCTTACCATTTGGCTATAACGTCAATGAGAAGCTGCACATATAACAGGATATGACGTCAATATTACGCCAACCAACCAAAATGCAGCACACCGAATTCGCTTCTATTCAAATAGCTACTATATATATCACAAAAATTCACATTTACTTTCATATGAAGCTATTAGACCGAACATTTTGCAATAACACAGGCCTTTACGGTTACGTAGCAACATCTTTATGTACGTCAGAGCTGGAGTGCAGCCCGTATTCAGACAAAGACTGTATGAACCAATCAGAATCGAGAAAAGACATAAATAATCCAAAATAAATAATAACTATTTATTAATTTCTTCTTTGTCTCGATCCTGATTGGTTGAAACAGTATTTGTCTAAATAGTGACCAGTCTGAATACGCGGTTGTCTAAATACTGATATGTAACCAATCAATTTGCAGTAACACAGGCCTTTACGATTACGTAGCAGCATCTTCATGTACGTCAGAGCTAGAACATAACATCACAGTAATACGAGTTTAGAGCTTAAAACTGCATTCGAATCCAATCAAAAAACTCAACAGTCTAAGTTGCAACTGAAATTTAACAACCGAGTAATAATTATTTATTGCTTACTTAAACATTGACCATTCATCATTTTGTTGCATACTTTGAATCGCAGTGTTTGAAAACTGTGCTTTAGCCAAAAATTCAAGCTATCACGTGAAACGAGATCCAAAAACTACCGAAACCGAAATGGATACTAGCCAACCCGAAGACATCCCTCAGAGCTTTCTGTGCCCCATAACTCTCGCTGTTATGAACGACCCGGTGATTGACAACTACGGCGTCAGCTACGAACGCCAGGCGATCTGCGAATGGCTTAACGCCGGAAACTCAACCTCGCCTACCACCGGGAAGGAACTGACTGTCAACGATCTTCGACCGAACAGGGCATTACGAGAGACAATTGAGAAGCTCCTTGGAGTGGAAGGAATGGTGCATTCGCCTCCTCGCAGCACGGAGAGCATGCCTGAAAACACGCTTCCAGCTCCCAAACCTTCTGCTACAACCGGCTACGAAGGATCCAACTACACGTATTCTTCACCTTTTAAGTTTAGCGACACGAATAGGGATGGACCGGACTTTAATGGGGCTTGCTTTCTGGGCTCCAGCTTGGTCCATATGGCTGGTCAAAAATTCCGAAGGGCTGACCAGATAAAGAAAGGTGACAAAGTATTCACAGGCGCCGGTCTAATTGATGAGGTAGAATGCGTGTTGAAGACTTGTTACGACGAGGACGAACCTCAACTTCTGTATCAAATTAATGAGAACCTCGTCGCCACTGCTTGGCACCCTGTAAAAAACGAGGCCGATCAATGGACATTTCCAGCTGAATCGAGCTCAGCGAAGGCCATCACAGTCTACACAGAAGGCGTGTACAGTTTCCTGCTCAAAAACAGAGGCACTATTATACTCGGTGACACTGAGTGCGCAACTCTTGCTCATGGTCTGCAAGGTGAAGTGATTGAACACGAGTTTCTGGGAACTGAGACTGTGGCAGCTGATTTGAAACGATTCGATCAGTTCCAGTCTGGACTGGTAGAAGTGACACCAGAAGCATTCCAGAGGAATCCAGATACCGGAAGAATCAATGCTATCAGGATAAATTAACTTATCCGCTTCAAAGACAAATCGCTAAAAAATCTTTTGTAGATAGACCAAAAATCTGTTATAACATAGTTTCAGCTTTCTAACAAAAAGATGTAATTTTGCCACAAGTAATACTATTAATAAACTTTCATCGCAATTTTGCAAAAAATTACAGAGCGCAGATATCAAAGTTTTTAAGTTCATTGCATAAAAAAATAAGGATAGCTGATTACTGTGCAAGCAGCACAGAATGTTCCAACTATAGCCTTTAAAAAACAACAACAAAATTTTTTTTTTTCAAATTAGTGTATTTTCTGCGAGGATCTGACACAAACTATAAAATAGGCATTTTCGACAGTCATAGTATTATAGGCAAAACAGACAAAAAACTTTGTTGAAAAATGACTAAGAACAAAGAAATCAAAATTTTTTTTTTTTAATTTCAAGAATTTTTTTTCAAATTCTTTTGCAGAAAATTTATTGAACTTTTTTTTGGTTCCTAAAGTTTTTGGTTCCTAAAGGGCGCTAAAAACTCCAAAAACTAATTTAACTTGCTTGAAACTACGTTTTCAGGGCCTAAATTAAGCATAATTAGGCTGTTGTAAGCCTGCTCGCTCACTTTATTCGCTCAAAATTGAAATAAAAATCAAAAATTTCAAACCAGTTTTTCTCAATGAAAATTTTTTTTTAATTTTAAAATCTCCTTCGAATCACGACTAAAAGGGCTTCAATTTGGTATAACCATTCCAATGACTATTTGTGGTACCTGATTTTGCGTTGAAACAAAAAAAAACTAAAACACACCCAAATACTAAGTTCCTCGACATTTTGCAAATGGTCGGGACAAAAACAGTTTTTAATTTCAGTAAACAGAGCAAATTTGATACAAAACGAGCAAAGTGGAGAACAGCTAGCAAAGTGGGTGGCTAAAAAAAATCAAACATAGTCTAAAATATCTTTAAAAAATTGTAAATGATTCCTGGAAAACATGACAAAACGATCCTTCCAATTTGTAAGATTGCTCATTTCGGTAAATTCGTCTTTTGCTTTTCATTGGCGACTTCATGCCAGAAATCTCTTATTTCAAAATGTACGCAACATTAAAAACCTAGTGTGAAAAACAATGGATCATATGCGTCAAAGATATACGCTATTACCGCTGCTCAAGTGACGGCAACACACCTAATAGATGAACTTTGATACCGCAGACCTCAAATGCAACGTTATGACGCCATAGTAACCTTCGCCACCAACTCCACACATGCTAAAAGTCTATTTGACTTTAAAAAAGCCTGCTGCTGAAAAAAATTCTGCTGCAGAGCTAGAAAAACTAAAATGGCATACTTAGCTAAACTCAACGACATTTTCAAAATTTGCTATCGGCGAAAATCTTTTGTGTATGCCTCTATTTGCATTTCTGAAAATTAGCGGCTAAGCTTAAGTTTGAGGTATCTTTTCTACCATTTTTAAGAAAATGTTGTGATGAATACAGTGCTGATTTAAATTATCCGGACAAAACGAACAAAACTTGAATTTTCAAACGCGTTTTTCTCAAATTGGGTTAACATTAGACAACAAGTGAAGAGAACAAAAATTGCTTACAATTTCACCAGAATTAATATGGTGCCATTTTTTCTCCGAAATTCTTAACAAAAATTTTACCCCAAAAATGGGTCAATTTGGCTTTTTTCAATTAATCAAGAATTACGCTGAAACTACTTTGTTAATTGATACGAAAATTATATCACAGGAAGCCTCTTACGCAGCTCAACAAAGTTTAAGAAGAGTTAAATCTCCAAAAATCAGTATAAGAGAAAAAATTTTCACTTGATAGTCAATAAATGTGATTTTTACTATATAAAACCCAGAATCTCTGTTAAAAAATAAATTTTAAACAATTTGCGCAAATTTTTGGAGATTTAACCCTTCTTAAACTTTATTGAACTGCGTAAGAGGCTTCCTGTGATATAATTTTTGTATCAATTAACAAAGTAGTTTCAGCGTAATTCTTGATTAATTGAAAAAAAAGCCAAATTGACCCATTTTTGGGGTAAAATTTTTGTTAAGAATTTCGGTAAAAAAATGGCACCTTGTCAATTCTGGTGAAATTCTAAGCAACTTTTGTTCTCTTCTTTTTTTGTCTAATGTTAACCCAATTTGAGAAAAACGCGTTTGAAAATTCAAGTTATGTTCGTTTTGTCCGGATAATTTAAATCAGCACTGTATGTTGTAATACTTTTTCTTAAGCCAATCGCGGTTTCCCTACCAAAGCAAGAGAGTTACCGTTCATGCAGGGGAGCTTAAGCACCTGTTGTTCTTGCGGTTGAAATCTTTATCTAAAATTTAGCAGATCCTTTTGGAGAAAACGGACAAAGTCCAAAAATGGGTCAAGGTTAACTTGATCTCATGACTGTAGTACTCAGAGAAGCTAATTTTTGCTTAAATAAATGGCTAAATTTTTCAAAAAAGGGGCAAACCTTCCCCCTACGCCCAGTTTAAAAAAAAAGACCATTCTCAGATTAAACCGGGATTCCTAGATTAAACCGATTGAAAGATTCCCAAAACCGGGTTTCTCGATTGAACCCGAACACTTAACCTAATAATTGGCAGTATACTTATCGAGAAAAATTTAAAAATTTCCAAAAACTGTCAAAAAATCAAAAATTTGACTTTTCTGCGAATCGCACTTTTTTGTGTAGAATCATTTGGGAGTGGCCGCTGGACAGAATAAATTCACACAATCTTTTGTTCTGGTTGAACGCAAAAATTCAAAAATATTTCAAATTTCGAGACATAAAACCAATTATTGAATTTTCCGAGGGCCATAACTTTTGCCTAATAAAAAAATTGGTCGTAGTGAATATTCATCGGAGCTTTCCACAACCTGTTGTTTTGATTGAACGCAAAATCTCAAAAAGACTCTTCCGAGGGTCATGAATTTTCGTGGAAAAATGTGGGGGCTAGCCGTTTATGCGAGGGAGCTTCCCAAAACCCATTTAATCCAGATTTATAAATATAGGAGTTGATTTTTTCAGAAAACGAAAAAATCCAACCAAAGCTATGGGTCAAATCTTCCCCCACAGACTTTTTTGAAAGCTATAGACAGTAGGGTGAAGTGAAGAGACCAACAAATTCTACAGGCGCACAGAGGAGTAGGCGGTCTTTGCATTTACACAATTTTTTTTTGAAATTCGGTAGAGTAGTTTTCTACTGAAATAATATTTATGCAAAATTTGTTCAGATTGCCGAAACTGGTGAAACAACATCGCATGCAGAGCCTATTTATGCCAGCAAGTGCTTCTGTCTGCATAAATGTGGTTCAGATTTTTGACAAAAAGCCAGCTACCTTACAAATCTTTGAATCGTTATCAAAATCAAGACATCGTTATTTCGCAGAAATGCGAGGACATACTCACGAGAATCTATTGACACTACTTCATGGAGAAATGGATCGACAGTTTCACCAGCACGTTATGCCGTGACTGCACAAACTTCATTAACTGTGCCATGCTAAATTTTTGAGATACCAAAAAAACTGACTGTGTCTTGGAAGCTACTCCAATGAATAATAATTCCAATCCATCATTACCATTATGACTACGTATGTATTAACGCGCGTTATTTGATCAATTAGCTTTACTCAATTCAATTTCGAATGATTTATGAGTCGGCATAATATTCCGCCTGCGCTACATACACGTTAATATAAACTGCTAAATAGCCCGAATTAATTATCCAAAATAGTCCCACATTCAAATCTCCTTAACTTCACTAAAAAAGATCACAGGCAAAATATCGATTTCACTGCGTGCTTAAGGAATCAACAAGACTGCTCGTATCAAGGCGAAGCCCTGAATGTTCCGACTGCCTTTTAAGGTTTATTTAGCAAAAATAACATTAAAAAATTAAATGAAATAAAACAAAATGAAAAAAATTCTTTTCTAAAATTTGAATTTTTTTTATGAAAGTCATCACCCCACACGCCATATTAAGTACAAAAGGATAGGTTTCGCTGCTTGTAACAAATCAATTATGGCAAATATGCTTCTTTCAACCAATTTGGAACAATTTCTAAGACGGATTAACTCTCCGCTTACGCGTTAATAGCGCGAAATATATCGCGTTAATTGTCCCAAATTGGCCAAAAGGGCAATCTTTAAACCCCCGTAACTTTATGAAAAATGATCACAGGTGAAATATCTTTTCAAATTTAAGCTCAGGACAACAATACCTTTCGAATTATATAAAAAACCCGTCAAAAATGGCTAGTTAAAGAGTCGAAATTTGTCTGAAGAAAAAAAAAACCCACCCCGAGCACAAATATTCCGTCAATTTCTTCAAAACCCGAACCAATTACTCAAAAACACGATAAAAAATAGAAGAGCCAAGTTGATTAAGTTGGGGTGATTTATCAACCGATGAAATTTGACCTCCTCTAAAACTGCTTTTTCACCTTCGACGGTTCGGGTCAAGATTCGTTTTACTGCATACAACTTCTTTTCCCTGCTTGACTTATCTACCATCAAATCTACGACATTGAAGCCCCTGAAACACAGAACTCAACATTACTTTATATCATGGGCGGACCTTTTTTTTAGGTCGACCGAATTGATTTTTGAGCTCTCCCTAAGCATGGTTTAGTCCCTTTTTTGGCAACATTTTCTGCGCGGCAGGCAAAAATTTGAAAAAACAGTCCAAAAAAGGTGTTTTTAGGCACTTTTTGGAAACTTTTGACCAAAAAATTGCGTTTTTTCGGCGCGCGCTCCCCCCTCAAAAATAGAATGTCGCTGTAATATTGGGTCAAAAATTTGAGATATTTCATTTTCAGTACTTATTCGTGTCGTGAAAAAAAAATTACAAAAAAAAAATTTTTTTTTCTCCAAATCCAATGAAACCTGGTCTAATCAATTTGTTGTTATGTATTGGACAAGGTTGTAACCCATGTTGAAAAATCGAGAAAAAAAACATAATTTGAATTTTTTAACCAATTTAACCTGAAAATGAGTATTATTAAACGTGAAATCTGTTATAGACGTTTGATTTTATTATATATAATGCGTTATAATGGCTCATACACTCTCTAAAGTCTACTCCTAAGATTCCTGGCTAACCCAACCAGGCTGTAGACATCTTATAGAGAGAAAGTGAGAAAAAAAA